GGCTTGTTTTACAACGTCGTTGCCAAGCGACGAAAACCCAACCCCGATGGTAAAACACCGGGGGAGGGGGCGCGCGCGCAGGTGGGGGGGGGGGTGATTCATGAGGATTGGAGGCCTGCACCCACAGTAGTTTGTCCCTTCGTTACACCCCAACCGAGGTCTTCCTGGCAAAGTCGCACTCGAAACCCGCGGGGGTACGAGAGCTACTGCCGTGCCCAAGATCGGGGCAGGCGCCGATTTCTTCTCCTTCGTGCTTTGCTCCCCTCCTGGGTTGTTGGATGACAACTCTCCTAACAACACGCGTGCCCAATACTCACGACAAAAGTGATGCCAAAACGTTTTTGCGGTGCATTTTCGGTTTTCCTTGGTTTTCCCTTACATGCCACCTCTCTTTGCCCTTGCCCCCTCGGAAAAATCACCCCGACGCGCACGACAGATAAAAAGCGCAGCCGTAGAATGAGCGTGCGCGACAAGATCGCCGGTTTCGGGGGCCCCGCCAGCACGGGCATCGGCGGCGGCGGCGGCGGCGGAAGGCCCAACGGGGGCTTCGGCTCAACCGCCCGGATTGGAACGAACGTCCCCACGTCCAGCTCCAACGCTCGGGCCTCGCCCGCTTCCTCGTTCTCCCTAGGCGGCGACCCCGACTCCGTCAGCAAGCTCAAAGTCCCCGACGTCTTCAGGAACGCCACGAAACCGGCCGACAATCCCGTTGCAGCGACTATAGAAGTCGCCCCTTCCGCTGCGCCCAAGAAATGGAGGACCCCGTCCGGGAGTGTGAAACCGGGCGTTTCGAACGGGGGAGGGTTGGAGGCGAGCAGTTCTGGGTCGGCGCCGGCGGGTGCGCCGGGATGGAAGGCTCGCAACGGTGGTGCGTGTGTATTGAATTGATGGACGTGCGCGTCAAAGCCGGATATGCTGATGCTGCTTCTATTTTTTTTTTGAGGGACACGTCTTCCGCGCTCACCGAAACAACGGTAGAAAATGAGGGGAATGCACCGCACGCTCTTGAAAAAAAAGGAAAAGCCGACAGCAGCAGTAGATACGACGCGAAAGATGAGTTGCGTCTTTCGCGGGATATCCGGCGGCGACTCGGTCGTTCCGAGCTGGTGGTAAGCCCGGGATGCTCCATCGCTCGCTGCGCCCTGTCAAGGCCGCGCGACCTCAATCGGGCGAGTCAAGCACACACACCCCTCCAGCTTATCGCCCCGACGCTGTCGCGTGCGCCCTGCCATGCCCGCAGATGCTGCCACGGATACCACCGCAAAGCGCCCCGTTTCGGACGCCGCGAAGAAACCGCGCGACGTTTTAGGTCTTTCCTCGGCCGGGTCGGCGCCTTCCTTGGTACGACCCCCTCCCGCCGCCGTTGAGAACAGGCCGACTGCAACAGGCAGCAGCGGCGGTAGTGGCGGGGGGGTCAGGTCAGAATCTGGACGAGCATCTCCTCCAAGGTAAATATATATATTTTTTGTCTGCGGACCAAGTGGAGGAATGAATCTGTTGTTATGCATGTTGTCGGATTTGCGGCACACGGACGTTGTGGTGGTAAGAAAGAAAATGGCCAAGACCGGTGTGTGTTCGGTTCGTTCCGTGATCTGTGCTGCAGTGATCGTCTCCGCGACGGACGAACAAACTCCCCTCTGCTTGCACCTATGCGTCACTGCTGTGGTCGATGATTTTCCGTGCGGGACGTTTTTTTTCAAGTGAGGGGCGGTTTGTGGTGCTGTTCAACACCATTGACCAACGAGAAAAAGCTGCTCGCCGCTGCTGTTTTCATAGTCCACGCCCCCATGTTTCCTTGTCCCCGCCCGTTTGTTTTTCGTATGTGGTGTTGGTACCCACCCAATTTTTGCAATTTTCGCGCAAACTTCGTTTGAGTGTGTGAAACACCAGGCGCGAGCGGTTGCAATACGCCTAAAGTAATCATGCACGCTTCTCGAAGAAGACCTTTTCGGGGATTCGTCGAGTTTCAAACATGCGTTCTTGTGTTCATGGCCTTGGATATCCGTCGGTGCTCTAGTTTCCTCGATGCGTCTCTAAATGTTGCGCGATGTGCCGCCCGTGGCAAGAAAACGCTAACCTCGGGCCATAACTTCTTTCCCGCTGGTACTCGTGCACTTCCCGCTCGTGGTGACACCGGCCACCCCCCAGCCGATCGGCGAAGCCGAAAGCAGGACCGAGAAAATTGAACCTGACGCGCATCTCGGCGGAAAAACAACGCGCTGCGCTCTGTCTCGACAAGAACTTGGAAGAGGAGGGTGGCAGCGGTACCAGCAACGGCAGGGTGAGTTCGGCCGAGACTCCACATGCCGCGATGGTGTGTTTTCGTCCTAAATTGTAATGAGTTGTTGATGCCATGCGTGTTTTTTGTCTTGGTGTGATTTTGTTGCCTTTTCGTTTGGCGGAATCGACCCTCGGGATCCCCTGCGTGGCAGATATGCTGTGAACCATTGCGGTGGCTTTTTATGTAAGGCAACAAGCTTTAACGACGAGCAGGCAACGAAAAATCTGCGACAACCGGCGCCTGTGGCCCGATCGCGGTTGTTTTCCCACAGACCTGGAAAGGTACAGGAGTAGACTTGGAGGTCGCTCAACTTGGTAACGGGCGTGCCTCTTCGGTACTGTAACTGATTCCAACTCTGTTTGTGCCCCCAACTCGGCGGCTGAAATTTGATCTTCACACGGAGTCATCGACTTCCCGCTTCCTTTCTCGCGCTCCCCCCCGCGTGTATTGCGGTAGGTATCGCCACGCGAAGCAACCACCGACGTCGCGTCCAAGCCCACCTACGGAGGGGGGAGTAGCACCACCACCACCACCAGCAGCGGAGGGCGACCGGCTCCTGCTGCTATTAGCTCGAACACGACGAGGCCGGCGCCCGCTTCCCGCCCAGCGGCCGCTTCCCGCCCAGCGGCCGCTTCCCGCCCAGTGGCATCGGGGAGAACGGTCGGCGGCGGAGCGGCTAGGGGCGGGGGGAACGGGATCCCGTCCGCCGGCTCGCTTCGGTCTTCCGGGCATAACCTCTGGTAGAAGAGAAGAATATAATGTCGTGCCGTTTCTTGGTGTGCTGTTGTTGCAAACCATGTTCTTGGCTCCTCTCGTCGTCGTGTTTGACCGTGGTGGTGTCTATTGATCTTGATGCGTGAGGCGATCGGCGGCGCTACTGCTGAGGTCGTCCGTTCGCTATACATAAGGCGGTTCTGGTGCATGAGGTTTGTCAACTGCTGTGTGTCGAGGTAGATGATGTGCGCCTGGCGTCGGTTTTTTATTGTTGGGGGTAGCTGTGAGTTTTGCGCGCCCCGAAGGACGTGAGTGCCGCTTCCGCTGTGCGTGTGCGAGGGCGCCACTGTCTGGTGTGTAATGGCCGACGAGTCGAGATTTTCCGGCGTTCCTTGTATTTCACCAGTACTTTTTTGTTCTTGTGAGTTTATTGTTGATGTCCCGTCTTTCCTAGTGATCCGAGGTATTGTTGACCGTAACGGGAATGCTGGCATGCGAGGTTGTGTGGTTTGGACTTTGTACAGCTGACTAGCCTGCTGTTGTCGTGCGAACCGCGGGCTTGTTGTCAGTCCATGGCTACCCGCGCCGGATAGTGTTTATCGTGGAGCCTGTGTGATGTTTGCACCTGGGGTTCACGTTTTGGGCGGAGCGCAGCAGACCCCGCCGGCGTCTCTGATTGGCTCCGGTGGCACTGCTGTGTGTTTGTTGAGATTTTTATATCTCATAGGCGCATATTTGCGTCGGGAAAAGGACGCGGGGTTTAAGTGTAACTGTCACTGGACCTTGTTTGGCGGTGATTGTATGCAGCTCACCCATTGCCTTCCGCCGGAGTCTCGTTTGGCTTCTTTCTTCGTTGATACAAGCTCGGGCTTTGGTGGGGCCAACGAGATGGTTCGTCTGCGAGTGGGTTGATTGGCTGTTCTGATGAACAACCACCATGCGATGAACGACGTATTTGTACCGAAAGTCCAATTTTACTGACATCCGCGGGTGGGTGTGAGTGTCATTTACCGTTCGTTCGTTTAACCTCAGCACGAGGCACTTGGAACTGTCAGTTTGGGAGAAAAATACGGGCGAAAAAATGGTGTGCTGCTCATTGGCTTGACCAGACAAACAAGAGGATAGTTTTTGCTCGGAGGGTACGGCTGCGGATGATACTACTTGTGGCTGATGACAGTTGTCAGGCGACAACGGTAATGCGTTGTCCTTTTGGCCAATAAGCCAGGTGAATTATATGGCAGCTTGTCTTGATGAGGCTGATGGGGCTACTTTGTTTCCATAGACTTGGACTAGTAACCCCAGGAAAGCGCGCTGTGCGCACCGAGAAGTTGCGGAGGTTCTACTCAATATTTTTTTGTATCATAAGAAGTTGAAGCGAGCACTTTGCGAAGTGCGTTGTTGCGGATGTTTTTTTTGCAAGATCCTTGCATTTGTCCAATGCTCAATGTGCGCACCGAGGACTTGAGGTTCTACTCAATATTTTTTTGTATCATAATATAGTTGAAGCGAGCACTTGGCAAGTGCGTTGTTGCGGATTTCTTTTTTTGCAAGATCCTTGCATTTGTCCAATGCCCAACGGACTGAGGGAGGGGGGAGATTAGATGCTGGTGGTAGAGCTTCCTTCTTGCGTTCGGTTAGCTGATGGCGTGCTTGTCTCTCCGTACGCATTTATCTCAAGGCTCTCCCGTATTAGGAGGTTGGTTCAAGTCTCTTTATGGTGGCGACAATGTGGAGTTAGCTGAGCCGTGCCCACAAGCAGCGGTCGTTACGAGAGGCGCTCTAATACTTTTAGATATGTAGTTGACGACCCGGAAGACCAAGAATTTTGTGGACCGGATTTCATTCCGAATTTCAATCGATTATGATATGTACGACGCAGAAATTGTGGACAGGGGGACCGTCCTCGACCCAAGCAGGAAAATGCCATCGCTGTGGTGGCTTTGTCAGTCGCTACCAAGAAATGTAGGCACTTGCTGTAGGGATAACCCCACAATTACCCCACCAAGCTGTTGACAACCCACCGTTGGATGGAGCCCAGCGTTGCGCAACGTACACATATATGACGTAGGAGGGTAGATATCACACCCATTTTGGCCCGATTGTCGAAAAAGCTCGATCGACTACTTGGCAGTGTATCTAGTCTTTCTGGGTGTGTTTTAATTTTTCCCGAAGACAGAGTAGCAGCGCTGACGACAGCGACGTTGAAACCGTTTTGTCGAGATGAGCTTTCCGAAAACGTACTGTGTTTCTCCAAACCTCCCCTTCGTTGTGGAGGAATCGAGCTTTGAAAATTGGTCTTCGGGAATACCGTTAGTATCTATCACTTCCGGCGGTAGTAGACTATGCCATGGTGTATACTGGTAGTGGCAATCACGCGTACATAACTCCTGATCACATCTCAAACTAGTAGTCTGTGTGTCCACATCCGTTCATGTTCGCGTTCATTTTGGTGTAGATCTACCCCAACCAAACCCCAGTGTTGCAGCCAGTTTTTTTTTTTTTCTTAAAATATATCACAACGAATAATCCATCTCGAAGAAAAGAGCCCAAGACAGATTAGCAATTAATCCATAGCGTCAGCCAGTTTTTGACCTCTTTTGGTGAATCTTCCTACCTGGACTTTTTCACGCCGTCTGATTAGCCAGGCGTTGGTTTAGCCTTGACTATTTCCAGCGCCCTCTCACCGCGTTCTCGCCCAGTTCGCGGCCGCTAGGGCGTGCGTTGGCCGTGGATGAGGGATAGGGTTAGGGTGAGGGTTGGATTGGGTTTGGTCGGCCACGGTTGTTGTTGTTTGTTTCTCACATTAGCTCTCTAGTCCACCAAAAAATGGGGAGCCCGTGGTCTCAAAACCCGGCACATACGACGCCGCGAGAAAACAAAAAAAAACAAAATAGGGTACAAACCACTCGGAAAAAGAAAACAAAATGATAGAAAGAAAAGAACAGGTATCGCACCGACCGTTCGCGGAAAGAGCCCGCGGACACCGATCAAAATAAGACAAAAACAAAAAGGAGGACGCTTCCCACACCCGCCCAAAAAAAAAATCAAGGGGTTACGTTCCAGCACCAGGCACTACGCACCAGGGCATGGGAGTAACGGAGAAAACAGGACAAAGAGGCGGCAGATCGGCAGACAGCCAGACGTGCAAAAACAAAGGCAACAGCAAAGCGAGATCAAGGTACCCAACACAGCAGAGTAGGCAGGGAGGTCATGAAAAAAAGAAACACAGCACAGAGGCCGAAGGCAATACTATGGACATACATGAAGGAGTATAGCATACAGCAGGGAGGGAAACAGGGCGCAACAACATCAGCCGGGTACATAGTTCGCCACAAGCGCTGCCTCGGCCGCCCTACTCGCTTCTACA